CGGGAATGGCCTCTCTAAAGTGGTCTTCTAAAATCTATGTCATAGAGTGCATGGGATTTTCTAAAAAACATCTCTGTCTATAGGTCTGTCATGGGTCCTGATATTCTCCATTTTCATAGTGGCCAGGTGATATCATGCTCCTTTGATCACAGTTTTAGCAGCAAGGTTTTAAGTCATATCAACAAATATATATTCACTCAGAGGGTAATGGGAAAACTACTGGATGAATTTGTTTTTTAAATATATTTTTATTTTATGTTTTTAAATATATTTTTATTGATCTCAGAGAGGAAGGGAGAGGGAGAGATAGAAACATCAATGATGAGAGAGAATCGTTGATTGGCTGCCTCCTGCATGTCCTCCAGTGGGGATCGAGCCCTGGCAGGGAATGGAACAGTGACTTCCTGGTTCATGGATCAATGCTCAATCACTGAATCACACCGGCCGGGCACTGGATAGATTTTAAGACGAGGAAGTAGATGAACACACTTGAATGTCAGAAAGAACACTCTGGTTGTCGTGTAGAGAATGGACATCACAAGACTAGAAGCTCAAAGTGCAGTTATAAGACTGTAGCCATAATCCAAGGGGGAGATGACAGAGGCCAAAACAGTAGCAATGGGAAGAGAGCAGTGGACAGATTCAAGAGATATTTAGGAAGATTTAGTGATAGCCTGGACAAGAGAGGAAGAAATCAAGGAGATCAGACACAAATTTCTATTATGAGCCAATGGGTGATGGTGGTCCCTTTACTGAGCTAAAGAAAGCAGAGGGAATGGATTTAAGAGAGAAGATGGATTCAGTCTGAGGCGATGAGAAACTGAGGTGTCTTTGGGTCCTCCAAGTAAAGATGTCTAGCAAACACAGGCTGATACACTGTTCTGTAACTGGGCCTGGGCTGAAGATAGAGGTTTTAGAATTATCAGCCTTTAGATAGTATTTGAAGCCGTGGAGACAGATAAGCTTGTACAGGAAGATAGGGCAGTGTAAGAAGAGTAGGGGGCCTAGACAGAATGGTTGCTATAGGTTATTAATCACTGGTCTATAACACATTGAGGGGGAAAAGTCTACTTTTTCTTGAATTTTCATTGAATATTTAAAAATAGACCAGCTAAAGCAATAATTCTATGGTTCACATGAAGACTATTAAAGCTGGCACCTCCAATCCACTTGCCTCACATAGACAAAAAAAAACACAAAACTTCAAAATTGTCTTAAAGTAGCTTTAACGAAAATAACAGACTCAAGATTTTCAGGGACACAAATAAATGATACCTTTAGATTATAAAATGGTAGGACTTCAGCCTTCCTGCTTAATTTTTTTCTTGACATTCTTCCAAATTAAATTTACTATTTAATATATTTTGTTTGCAATTAAATAGATACATAAGAAATAGAATGTCTAATTTACAAATGGGCAGCTTCAGTTATAATTTGCTCAAACTCACAGACCATAATAAGGTGAGTTTAAACTATGAAACTTTACTGCTATGTAACCTTGGGCAGGTTATTTCTAATCTCCTTGAACCTATTTTCTCATGTATATATAAAAAAGGAGATAACAGCTCATTAAAATCCCTATACAGTGTCAGGAACTAGAAGCTGCTATGCAATCAATATAAAGTATTCAAGCCATTTGCCTTCCTCATTTTGCTTGGATCCAGAATCAAGTGTTGTACAATGAGCCCAAAGTGGCAAATGAGTCCATACAGAAAGGGGAGAGGTTCAGAAAATTCTGGGGTCATGGAATCAGCTATAATCTATGAAACTTTAAAACTTGATAGCACCTACTGATCCAGCTATGGCTGCTCCAAGAACCTTTCCTGCTTCTCCCTAATTCTTGGAAGAACCCTAGGAGGATCCTAGGATGTTTCTGAGCTTCTCTTGGTATCTGGGGAAGAGAAAATTAGGGAGAGAATCAGATGAAGTTGGAAAATCCCAATGGCCTGAGATGAGAGGTCTCATTTCAAGAGCCTGCCCCTCACAGCTATCTCCAGTAAAAAGGGCACTTGCCCAACTGATAAACAGTATCAAGTCTTGACTGTCAACCCGCAGGGTCGTCGGGGGTTAACTGTGCATACAGACCTGTGCAGGTTATGTCACCAACGGTTACTCTGAAGGTGAAAGTGGGCACGTGTATTTGCATATCGGATCTTTCACATTCATAAACCGGGATGTTCTTGGTCTTCATGCCGTATTCGTGCAATACCTGAATCGGTGTTTTTCCTGGTTTAGCTGTAATCATCTTCCCCAAACTGCAAAAACAAAACAAAACAAAAAAACAGAAAAAGGTGTGCTTTGTATGCCAAAGCAGGGAGGGAAGCAGAAGCTTTAGAGAGGCTAGCTCTCACTGCCACCAACGGTGACTCGCGAAGCACCAAAGCTCCCAGGGGCCGGAGCTGGAAGGTGCAGGGACCGCCCGCCCCACTGCGGCGGGCGCAGGGGAGGGACCGGCAGAGTGAGGGACGCTATTAGGAGAGGATCTGAATGAGGGTAGGGCGGCTTCGCCACCTCGCAGGACTAGGCTCACAAATCTCATTCCCCGGGAGGCCGCGAACCACCGTCGCCTGCCAAGCCCCGACCCCAGGAAATGCAGAAGGGGCGGGGCCCAGCCGCAGACCCCGGCTCGCGCGCCACCGAGGGCGGGTCCGAGCGCCAGCGGGTCCGCCCGCAGCCGCGGGGGCGAGAGCGTCGGGAAGGGGCTTTACCCACAATGCCGCTGGGGAGCCAGGTTCCCCCGGCCCCGCCTCTCCCGCCCACCCCTCTCGGCCCTGCTAGGCGCGGCCCCGACCGCCCGCGCGCTGACCTGAAGGTCCCGCTGTCCTCGCGCTCCAGCGCGGGGCGGCGGCGCGGTGCCGGCTCTGGGACATGGCGAGAAGGGAGGAGGGCTCGGCGGCAAGAAGAGCGGCGCGGATCGACGTCCTCGCTCCCCGGGTCGGCCGGTCCCCGAGAGGAACGCTCCAGCACCGCCGCCGCCTCCTTCTCCCCAACTCCTCTCCTCCCCTCCTCCGACCCCCCACCCCCTCGGCTCCCCTCCTGCGTCCCTCTAGCGAGGAGGACGGGCGGGGGCGGGGGCGGGGCCTCGGTGCGGCAGCGCGGGTCCAGGTTCCCGGCCACGCCCCCTTGCTGTCCGGGATCCCGGCCCACCTCCAAGCTCCGCCCCGCCCGCCGGCTCTTCGGCGTCTGGCCACGCCCCCTGGTTACAGGCCCCGCCCGTCTCCCAGCCCGGGCTCCGCCTCCGCGCGTACCCACCCACCTGGGGCCTCGGGCTTCTCGGCGCCCTGTGCCCGGCCTCTGGAGGCCTCAGTTCTGTGTCCTTAGAAGGAGGCCGTTTCCTGCCGGGAGAGGCTGTGGGACTGGCAAGTCTCACGGCCTGTGGGCCTGAGGCTCAGCCTTATTTTGTTTTTTTCAGGCGGGGTGAAGGATGAGGACTGCGTCACTTTAAGCCAAAGATTTCAAAATTCCAAAGGCAAAATTTAGAGAGAGCACCCCTGGGCCTGGCCCGAAGCTGGAGACTCCCGAGGGCTGGGGGGCTCTCCCCTGGAGCCCTGCCCTAGGCGCTCGCGGGCACGTCCGGAGACCCCCCTCCTTCTCCCTTGCTCCGTGGGGCGTCATTGTCTCACAGGCTTTTGTCGCGAGATAAATGCGGGGCCTGCGGATTCCAGCAAGGCCTGTTAGGTGTAAAGGAAGGCTTTTCTGCGGACCTGATTCTAATTAAATACTGTTCCTGCACACCTGTGGTGCTGGTCGTAATGGCGTTTGCCTGCGATGCACCACCTTTGGTGCAGTCGCTTCTCTAGGGACTTGCTAGCCCCTTGCAGAAAGGACTCCCTGTGGTTTCTTGGTGTTTTGGAAGATTATTCACACAAGGGACATTATTAAAAACTGTTCTCTGGGGGGTTTGCACGTGAGCCCTGGATATTTGAAAGTAAATGTAAAAAAAATGTCCAGAATCTAATCAAATTGATTTATATTATTTGAGGCTTGAATTAACCTATTCTTCCTCCCCCTACCGTCTCTATATATGTATTGTATCGATTACTAGCCACCTAACTATGGCAATACAATATTTCAGCACTCAGATTTGTTTCTAAAGTGTATTTTTAGCCACAAAATTCCTTTAAAAAACAAGCCAAATCCTTACGTAGCTCTCTTTTTTTAAAAAATATATTTTATTGATTTTTTACACAGAGGAAGGGAGAGGGATAGAGAGTTAGAAACATTGATGAGAGAGAAACATGGATCAGCTGCCTCCTGCACACCCGCCACTGGGGATGTGCCGGCAACCAAGGTACTTGCCCTTGACCGGAATCAACCTGGGACCCTTTAGTCCGCAGGCCGATGCTCTATCCACTGAGCCAAACCAGTTAGGGCGACGTAGCTCTCTTTTAAGGCTGAGTTACTGGAATAATAATGATGAAACAAAATAAAAATAGACAGTAGGATCCCCTTTCAAAGAGATGTCCATGTGTCAGCTTCAGAGTAAGAAACCCACATGTTTATACAGTTATTTATATGTAATGTGGTTTTCATTCACTATTTTATAAAGATCTGCATACATTTGTTTCCTTGCTGTAATCATACAAGGACAATGAATGAAATGCTGAAACAATAAATTGTATACCATACGGATTCAAAACAGTACTTTTCTGTTGCCAGAGTTGGCATGATGGACTTGTGAAAGAATTCCCTCACAAGTACCAGGTACAGGGTAGCTGGTGTCCAGGCTAATGTTAGTGCCTAATTGCATTGTTCCCATAGGGCTGTTTCCCTCAAAACTTGCAAACTATTAACCTTGACCCTCATTAAGGACATTGCTAGCATTTTAAACTTACTAGTTTTCTGTGTATATTTTAGTGCTATAGACTGCAATTCCAAATTAGACTTACTTTTAGTATATCACTTTACACTGTTGATCTATAATTCATCACCTGAGCACACCAAGGGAGGCAGTGTTGTGAACGGTACACTGTAAACTACTTGGTGGAACCATGCTTTGTATTTTAAAGTGTATAATTATATTTAAAATCAAGTAAGACTTAGATTTGTGCCTGATTTTCTTTGCAAATATGGATTTGTTATCTGAGGGTTGCAGTTGATGGATATTTGGATACTATATTAATATGTTTGCGGCTGCTACCAAGAGCTTTGTCAAGCAAGTTGGAGATGGAGGGAGATTAGTTCCTGTTCCAAGCCTCAGTGAAGCGGACAAATACCAACCTCTAAGTCTGGTGGTGAAAAAGAAGCGATGCTTTCTGTTTCCTAGATATAAATTTACCTCGACACCTTTTACACTGAAAGATATTCTTCTAGGAGACAGAGAAATTTCAGCTGGTAAGCAACTTTTATTACTATGATTAACTTAAGTGCCTGAAGTTTGTAATAGTATCAAATCTTTATTGATTGAATAACTTTCAAACCTATTTTATAAGATTATTGTATAATTTTATTTCAGTTATTTTATAAATTGTTTTAACCAGATCAGCTTAGAAAATGGCATAGTAATATATTTCTTCATCTATGAAATGGAGGTTTTATTTAATCTTACCTATCTCACATGGTCAAATGAGATGAAAATAATTTGTATTTATTTTTTTATGATTTACTTATTACAGTTGGCAAACTGAAATATATTACAGACTTGGTTAGAAAATAAATGGACATTGAGACAAATTATTTCTTAAAAACATCTGTTTTTCTTTCAACTACCCCGTGGGTCTTGATGCATAAGAAGTTCTGTTGAATTTGAGTTCATTTTAAGTACTCTAGCTATTTATTTCTTCTTGTTTTCTAATTAATTGAATGACTATTTTTAATCTTGGTTTGAAACTTTGCCTTTCTTAACAGGTGGGTAATGAAGTCTTAAATAGTAAATTAATGTGTTACCATATGTAATCTACATTAGAATAATTAGTGACATTTGAAAAATATTAACTTCCTTTTTTAAAAAAGGTATTTCATCTTATCAGTTACTGAATTATGAAGATGAATCAGATGTTTCACTCTATGGAAGGCGAGGCAACCATATTGTGAATGATGTTGGGATTAACGTTACTGGATCAGATTCTGTTGCAGTAAAAGCTTCATTTGGTGTAGTAACTAAACATGAAGTGGAAGTTTCAACGTTACTCAAGGAAATTAGTTCACGGTCAGTATAATAATTACTATACTGCAGTGTTTTCATTAAATTTTTTAGTTATATAAACTTCATTATAAATTATTAAAACATTCAGGTTTGTTTTAGTAATGTAATGTATCTGTTTGAAATAATGCAAATTAGTAATATACCCACACTTTTGATAGGAGTAGATATCCAAAATCATTTGGTTTAAAGAGAATTTTAAATTGTTCCACAAAATTGCTTTGGATATGAACACATTTGCTAAATTATTAGATTAAAAGAATACAGGCATCTGCTTGCAACAAATATGCTAAGAGAGTCTCTCCAATAGACTCCTATAATAAGATGTTTTAAGAAAATAGAACGGAGAGGCAGATTATTAAATTTCTTTTGAGCATACTTTCTGATTTGTAGTAAGCCTGTAGTAAGGTAGACTGTGAATGAGTAATACAAAATAGCAAAAACTGTATTGGATGATATGTAATCAGATGCCATAGATTCTCGTGACTGTCTCTCTTGTTTATTTTAGAAAAATTAATTTTGACCACAGCTTGATACGTCAGTCAAGGAGCAGCAGAAAAGCAGTATTGTGTGTTGTCATGGAAAGCATTCGAACCACACGACAGTGCTCACTGTCTGTGCATGCTGGAATTCGTGGGGAGTCCATGCGGGTAAAGCCACACTCATTAGGCTTCTTTTGTTAGAAGGCTGCAAGGGAATTTTTTAAAAAGTACTCAAATTCTAATGGGACTTGTGTATTTTGTCAAATGTTGAGATTAAAGAACTGCAAGGATATATGGGATTTCACACAGTAATGGTTTTGTATTAGAATGTGAAAAAAAAATCTAAGAAAATTTGGATTGTAAACACATATAATATAATGAAAACAGAATACTAGTCCTCCTGAAATAATATGCATACTGGAGTCCCTCCTATTGCTATTTAAATACTGTTTTAAGAATAAAAATTAAATACTTTTATTGAATTCTTTGATATTATTTTTAAGTGATATAGTTTATACTTACATTTTAAAAGTTGAATTTATATTTTTATAATAATTTTTCTAAAATAATATTGTCAGTGACTAAACATACTTCAATGTTAAATCTTTTTAAAAGTCTTAAAAGTAATTGTTTATTACTTCAATTATTATGTTTGTCCTTGTCATTCACAAATAATGACTTGATTTCTAAATGTTAGAAAGACAGGGTTCAATGATAACCTTTTCAAGTCTTTGAAAATAAAGCCTCCATTTAGCTGCTCACCAAATTGTTTAACGTTGGATCATTTGGGCATGAACTTGTTGGTGATTGCTTTGGAAAGCTGCTGAAAGCTCTGGGGGCTTTGGAACAGCAGACAGGGTAGGCTTAAAAAAGCTCTAGCACTTAAACACAGTTGGTTTGCAGTTGAAAGACAAAGGCTTCTTAGCTATTGTGGTAGCACTAATCATTGGCTCCAATACCAAATAAGTGAGAGAGTGGTGAGTGCTATTTCCTAATATAGATCGAGATCCCATTGGACCATGTGGAACTCTGCTATAAAGTTCACTTTCAGTAGGATAATTCTTTACTTGGAGAAGTGTTTTGTTTTGTTTGTTTGTTTCCTTTTGATAGGATTGAAGGAAATGTTATGTTCCTCCAAAAAGCTACCCTTACATGTTATGCTCCTTAATGATGTTATTTATTTTTTTAATATAGTTTCATTTTATGGATGAACAAAATCCCAGGGGAAGGGACACATTTTATGGATGAACAGAATCCCAGGGGAAGGGACAAAGCTATTGTTTTCCCAGCACACACAACCATAGCTTTCAGTGTTTTCGAACTCTTCATTTACTTGGATGGTGTCTTTGGTGAGTGAGTGACTTGTATGAAACACTGAATTGATTACATTTTTAAGAATTTCTCTCGCTTTGTCTCAAGATTAGAAGAGTGATGCTCTCAGCACTGTCAATCTTTTTTCTAAAATATACTTTTATTGATTTCAGAGAGGAAGGGAGGAGAGAGAGTCAGAAACATCAATGATGAGAGAATCATTGATTGGCTGCTTCCTGCACACTCCCTATTGGGGATCAAGCCCGCAACCCAACGGGGCATGTGCCCTGACCAGGAATCGAACCATGACCTCCTGGTTCATAGGTCAATGCTCAACCACTGAGCCACACCTCTTGGCAGCACTGTCAATCTTATGCTTGGATGAAGTAGCTAGGAAATGCCCTCTACTCCCTACTTACCCAGTACCTCTTTTCTGCTTCTTGGTAAAGGCTATAGACTCCCACCACCCCACCTACTATTACAGATAAGAGCTAAAATGCAGTTCACTGACAAAATTATTTCTTGATTTATGGGGAGATAATACATGGCCTTCTAATAGGTAGTTTTTCATTATGGCAAATAGAGGAGTAAGTAGACAGTAAAATGCCTCAAGATGTCAGGGCACCCAAACTAGTATACCCAAAGACAACTTTTCTTTAATTTTATCTATCAGAGATCTGCCCGGCCCAGCTCTCCCTAAAAATAACGTTAAAAGTACAAATACTGCCCCTAAAATTGTCACCTTATGTAATACCTCAGTGCAGCTCACTTTAGATTTCTACACTTTACAGACCTTTAAGGTTAGGAGGCCAGCCAGCTCAAGTCTAGGTGTAGGCCAAAGAACCAGGCAAGTGAGCCCTCTGGCCATGGTAATTTATAAACATTTTTAGACCTGTTTATGTTTGTTTCTGCAGTTCTATTGGAAGAGGGACTCGGGATCCAGGAACAAAACAAAACATGCAAATTAAATTCTCTTTGGGACCCTTTGGGTGTAGGTTTTTTACAATTACATATAGTGATAGGAGTCTGAACTGATATCCATCAAAATTTAAAATGTGCATGTACTTTAGCTTACACTTTTATGAATTTAACATATATACTTACATGTGTGAAATGATATGGAGATAAGGATATGCAGTTCATAATAGTGGAAGATTGGAAATAACCTTAAGATCTTTTATCAGCAACTAGTTAAATAATGGTTCATCCATACAAAGGAATACTAAGAATGAGGAAGCACTACATATCCTGACATTGAATAATCTCTGAGAGATATCTGAAAGAAATGTGTATAATATATAACATTTTGAGCCTAAAGAATTTTATGTACATACATACATACATACATATTCCTTTATGCATGTAAAATATATGGAACATTTCTGGAAATATACACAAGAAAGTTAACATGGTTACCTATGGGGTGGAAAACTGAGGCAGGGGTCAGGGTAGTCTAGAGACTTGTCACTATACTGCTTTGTTGTGCTCTTTGAATTGTGTACCATGTGAATGTTACCTTTCCTAAAAATATGTAAAATTTAACTTAAACAAATACAATGAAGTCACGTACCAGAATTCATCAACCACAAAATCTGAGTTCAACTTATAACATCTTCTAAATTTCTTTTATAGACCTTTGTGTCACTTCAGTGTCAAAAGGAGGATTTGAAAGGGAAGAAACAGCAACGTTTGCCGTGCTCTACAGATTGAGAAATATACTATTTGAAAGAAGTATGTCCATGTCCATTGAAGAGTATTTCAAATATATTCTTTTTCTTCCGGGGTCAATACTTGAGGTTGTCTATTAGTAATCCTGTTAAGAATTTAAATTTAAAAGCCAAATTATTTCATGACTGATGGCTTAGATTCACATGGTTATAAATGCAGCTTGGTTCTATGTTTTTTTTTTTTATTTGACTTCTGACACATTTCTCTGTTTCTGTCTTTAGATAGAAGAGTGATGGACGTCATTTCTCGTTCCCAGCTTTACTTAGACGACCTTTTTACTGACTACTATGATAAACGTTTCAGCATGACTGATATTTCACTCAAAGAGGGGACTCACATCCGTGTTAACTTACTTAATCACAACATTCCAAAAGGACCTTGCATACTCTGTGGGATGGGGAACTTAAAAAGGGAGACGGTTTATGGGTGCTTTCAGTGCTCTGTCGATGGGCAGAAGTATGTGAGACTTCATGCAGTTCCTTGTTTTGATATTTGGCACAAGAGAATGAAATAAAATGAAAAATGAATGCACTCTGCTGGTGTTTAAGGTTCAACTGTGCCACACACCTTTCCAAAAATGAATTGTGACAAATTAAAGAGGGAAAGAAGTTAACCTGTCTGGGCATCATTTTCTTCATGTATAAAGTGGAGGTGATAACAGTCTCCTCATAACTTGTATGAAGGTTAATATTTTTATATGAAAAAAAGGCTTAAATATAAAATTAAGAATGTAGATGCTCCTCCATAAAGTCTGCCACCATGTTATAAGTATTTTAGGGATTTAGTTTATCATTTAGGTAACTTTTTACATAGAGATTTTTTGAAATACCGACTTTATTTTTAATTGGGTTTTAATTAACATTTAAAGATGAAAAGAGTGGACAAGAGGCGACTTTATGGTGCTTTAACTATTGCCCTATTTCTGGTAAAATGAGAAAAATGCGTTAATAATTTAATGTAACCTAAGTGCTTAATTGCAGTATCAAGTTAAAAGCACACTGAGCTCAGTGTGGGGCATTGTGTACAGTTAACAGGGTGACTGATAGTAATGGGCTGCTATGTACATATGCTCGCTAGTGTTGGCTTTATAAAACTCACTGCTGTCATTTTAAAGTTAAGACAGCTAGGGGATGTTTATTTCTTTTCTCCCCTGAAGATGTTTAAAACATTTAACATATTTAGTTCTAAGAGATCTTTTTCATCTACTCTGTAAGACATCTGAAATTTGTCATAAACCACCTAAATTTACTATATACCCTTATGAAAACAACTGCAAAAATAATATGTTCAAATTCTAGAACTCACGGTGTATAATTACACCACTCACTACTTGGTATATACCGATGAAGGCATAATGCAATCATGTGAATACGAACTACTTGTGCACTAAAGCATGTAGAATGATTAAAATTTTATTTTTTAACTAAGTGTGATTAGTTTCAGAATCAATCTCCGTATTCATTTAACATCAACAATAATCTTTTAAAAGATAAGTTTAAAGGCACTTTGTATGAAAACAATGGGACAGAAAGGTTAGAATTATAGTTTGTATTATCTGATAATTTCCATTTATATCTTCTGTCACTGTATTTTATTTTAGACAGAGTATATGATTCAAATGCAAATATGAGGATACAGACCAAACAAGGGTCTAGTGACTTTTTTATATAAAGAAAGTGGGGGCAGTTTCAAACCAAAGCATAGTATTATCAACTTAGTTTACTTCCACTGAGCAGGTTTTTCTGAAGAAAGTAAAGAGATTAAGAATTGACTAAGCAAGTGAGAAGTTATAAAATAGGGCAGAGGAATGATGCAATATTGGCAGGAAGAAAAAATAGTAAATGTTTTTGTTTTATGAAGTGTCAAACTCTGTGCTATGCTTATGTGACACCACTAATCTGGTGGGTTTTGTGTTATCCCTACCCTTTTAAGTAACAGATTTTCTGGCAGTATATCGAAATAGGTTACAAGATACAGTGGTTTGGAAAGAGCAAGTTTCAGGAAATGGAAAAGCTTTGTTTTGAACTCACCTGTTTTGAATAGAGCTATTTACGTCCTTCCTACACATGCAGTAGGCTAAACCTTACATGCTCCAATAAACATGTGCCCTTTCTTTGGTACCAACTGCATCTACAGCATCTCTTACCTCTTTTTCTCCACAAGTTGTACCATGTCATGATTTGACCATAACACAAAATTGCCATGGTACATTTATTTCTTTTCTCCTTTGAAAATGTTTAAAACATTTACCATATAGTTCTGAGAGATATTTATGAATCCTCATTTCTATCCTCATTTGATATTCTCATGTATCCTCATGTGTAAAATAAATTCTATACATTTGCTGGGGTCCAACCCCAGCAGGTCCAGGGGTCCCCAAAGGTGTGGACGGAGTCGGCGAAGAAGGAATGACACGGAGACAGCCTTCAGTTGATCAGCAGCCTAGTCAGGACCTCTAGCCAGGATCTCCAGCCAAAGTTCTGGTCGGGATCTCCAGCGAAGTTCTGGTTAGGATCTGATTAGCATCTGATGTTTATTGTCTTTTTTTTTTTTTTTTTTTTTTTTTTTGCCGATCATCATTTTATTTGTCATGGAGGATGAGCATACAGGACAGAATCAGGGGGACAGGGCCTGGGCATCGGGTGACGGTGCTGTGCTGCTCGCGGCTACAGTGTCAAGACACCCAAGTTGCCGCAGACAAACATGAACATGAATCTTCTGGATCCACTCAATTAAAAAAAATAAAAAGCTTAAAGATGATGTTTGATGTCTCAAAGGTAATGCTTTCATTAAAACCTGCCCACAAGGTGAAACCACAAAAGCTGCGGTTCAACGCCACACCTTCCAGGGCGCCACCTCGCGTGGCAGTGCGGCTGTGACAGCGTGGGCTGCGGTGTTTGGGGCTCAGCCACGGCCCTAAAAACCCCGGACATGCTTCCAGTGCTCAGGGGAGGGGCAGTTTCTGTCCCTGGGCCACTTAGAATCGCAAGTGGTCAAAAATCTACAAAATGTGCCCAAGCGTATTTCAACTACAAACCTTTATAGCCCCGATTGCTCCTGATTTAGAAAAGGCCAAAGGTGCCAAGCTTCAGGAAAACTGTGCATTCACCTCTATGCAACTTCACCATGTCAGAGAAACGAAACAAAACGTTCGTGGCAAAGACTGACTGGGCGCTAGAGTTGTGTACTTGCCGCAGCCCCCGCGTACTGGTAGGGGCACATGGAGACCCCGGAAAATCGAGGTTTACATGGGAAATACCGACACGCCTTTTCACGGAACGGGGACACTGCAGGCCCCACTACACCACGTGAGTGCGTGACGGCTGGATGGACACGTGATTCTCGTCAGTCAAACCCACGCCGCTCACACCATTGTCGGCACAGACAAGCCTGTTGGGTGGCTGTTAAAAATGTTACCTGTTATTTTAAAAAATTGTTTTTTTCTATTTTAATCAGACGCAAGATTTTTAGAAAAAGACCCCGATAGTAAGTTGCAGCTCGGCTTTGTGCAGGACAACCTTTCCGTTAAAAAACGCCGAGGGCTCGCTGACGCAGGAATCGGACGCGAGCGCTGCGCCTCGGTGTCCTGGAATGCGTCTCGGAACGGGGAGCGGGGACTTGAGACGCAGGGACGGAAACAATGCGTCTTGTCCCTAAATCCTCAGTCGCTTTCCCGCGGCGGACGGTCCATCCTGATGCGGGTTACTTGAAGTTTCTGGTGCTCATTTTCCTCCCATAATCTATCAGGCCAGTATACAAAAAACTAAAAAATAACATAACATAACATACCCCCCGAGAGATGGTGAAATGAGACACATACTCTGGGGAGCCCAGTCACAGAACACTGCGCCCCAAACAGGGGGGCGGAGGCAGGGCTCCGAGTCTCCCGGATCCTTCCGGGGACCGTGCCCGCGAGCCCTGTGCTCCGTCACCGCGGCGCAGGCGGGGTGCGTGGGGCAGGAGAGACGCGGCGGAGACGGTTAGTGGAAAACAGAGAACCGAGTCTCTCAGTAGTGTGTAGTTGACGTTCATGCCGACGGTCGTCGACGGACGGGCGGAATATCCTCTGGGGCGGAGAGATGAGTCTGAGATAACAGGAAAACAGACGCCGCACTACGAGGACGGCTTACCCCAAACACCGTGAAATGAGAACTAGCACGAGGCGCGAGGCCCGGGAACTGCTCCTCGCCAGGCTCACATCCTCGCGGCCTCCTGGTCCTTCTCCTCCAGCAGCTGGATGAGCCGGGAGAAGCTGTCCTTCAGCGCCGCCACGTCGCCCAGCGAGCAGGGCTGCAGGATCCAGCGCTGTCCGCGCGCCAGCGGCTCCAGCTCCAAGTACTTTTTGACCTCCTGGGCAGAGCGGGCGGCCGGCTTGTCCTGGTGGCTGGCGAGGATGAGGAAGGGCAGCGTGCAGAGCTGCGGGTGCTGCAGGGCCGAGTGCAGCTCGCTGCGGGCCGTCTCCAGGTCGCCCTCCGAGGACGCGCTGTCCAGCACGAAGATCACGCCCTGGGAGCCCGGGTAGTAGCGGCTCCAGTACTTGCGGATGTGGTCGGCCCCTCCGAGCTCCTTCACATTCAAGACGGCGTTCTGGAAGGGCACTGCCTTTATACTAAAACCGGTGGTGGACAGGACGTGCTCGGGGCTCTCGCTGCAGAGCCGGGACAGCAGGCTGGTCTTGCCGGAGCCCGGGAGGCCTATGCAGACGAGGTCATACTCGGGGCGCGCGGGCGGGGGGTCCCTTGCAGAACAGCGCTCGGAAACACAGATAATCCATGTACAGAAGCCCTCAGGTCTGCGGAGACCAGGCACCCGGTGCCCTCAGCAACCGGATCGCTCCGAACCCAGAAAAAAGAGCGACCTGTTTATTGTCTTGTTACATCTGTATTTATACCAGTCGATTTTAATCCTGTCAATTTCTATTGCAAAGGTTAGGGCGTTTCTCATCTCCATTCCAGGGAGTAAAGATTATGTAGCTTAAGTGTGATTGTTTGTAGTTAAAGTGATTAACTACCCGCCTGGCACTTAGTTAAGGGGTTTTATCCCCTCCCTAACTTCAGGGGAAAATCCCTACCTGGGGAAACAACCTTTCTCGAGGGGGTGACCTTGGTTAAAACACATAGCGCTAAGGGGAGCAAACATATTAAGAACAGTATGCTATATACGCCAGGTCCCTTGAAACATATGCTGTGCAGATGTTTCTTTCCTGCAGCGACTGTGTCAAGCAGCAAGGATGGACCGGCTTCCAGCATACATTTATCAAAAATTTGATGGCATGTCATTTTGTAATGTTCATTCATTCATGATTAATAACAAAATCATTGTGAAATGAAGTGACATAGGATAGAGATACTAGAGAAAAGGAACTACAAACTAAGAAATACCATGACATCAATTTAAAATCAAGACAAAAAGTTAGGGATGGTAGATATAAAAGCCTATGAGAAGGAAGAGGAGTGGCACATTTATCATGATGTCTAAAAGAGTACAAGACTCAAAGCAGTCCAGACTGTATTATGCAGGGGTCCTCAAACTACGGCCTGCGGGCCACATGCAAATACAAATATTGTATTTGTTCCCGTTTTGTTTTGTTTTTTTACTTCAAAATAAGATATGTGCAGTGTGCATAGGAATTTGTTCATAGTTTTTTTTTTAAACTATAGTCCGGACCTCCAACGGTCTGAGGGACAGTGAACTGGCCCCCTGTTTAAAAAGTTTGAGGACCCCTGGTTATGTCTGCTATAAGAGGCACGATTTGATCAAACATCTTTAACAATTCCCCATTGGAACAAATATATAAAGTCAGAAGCTTGCACCAAAAAGTACAGAGACCGTGTTGAGGCTCTCTGTGGGACAGGGTTATACAACATATTTTCCTGCATGCACACCAAAACTAGACTCTTCAGTTCAATGCTTTTTACATACTACTACCTACTCGTATGCTATGAGAGGTATAAACAGTAAAATGTTAATTCCTTGGTCCCTATTGAAAAATTTAAAAATGTGGGCATTTTAACATTTAAAACATTAAAAAATGGTTACTTACAACATGTGCACATGTTGTTAGGTGAGAGTTGGGAAGAGTTTTGTAGATTTTGCCATAGATGTCCTCCTATCTCTTGAAGCAGGAAAATTGCCCACTGGGACACACAGGTCAGTTTCATGGTGCTGCAACTCATGTTCACAGAATTAAATTTGCAAAATAGCCTCACATTTATTCCAAAGTTACATGTATTGAGGAGATCAAAATATGTTCTTATGGGATAAAGTAGAAAATACAACTTGGAGAAAGTGACTTTGTTTTATATATAAAGTATAGTAAGTAGCTAAGAAAATTGAGAAAGTTTAAAAATATGCTATAGTTCATCATGTTGATATACATTGTATTCCTTGGGAGAAATGAAGCCATCACCATCATGGTCATTCTTCTTAAAAATATCTTCTAAAACTGCATTCTGATATGACTTGTCACGTGGCTTATCATCTTTTTCAAAGTCCTTTTTCAGGTACTGATCTATCTAAAGAGCCAAAATAACATTTCATTAATAAGAAGAATTCACAATACATTTCTAGTAACTTTGAAGAAATGTTTCATAAAGAAACTCATAAGGAAGAATGCTTATAATAAGTGAAATAAAATTTTAAAAAGCTGCTTGAGGTCTTATTTTTTTAACCTTTGATTCTCCGAAGAGAAACTGATCTTCCCCTGAGGTTATAGATGGTTAGTGGTATATGTTTAAAGATTAATATATAAATTGAATTTTGTTGAAACTAAATGCTTTCCAATAATCTACACTGTCCACATTATCAAAGGAAACTCACTCTCAAGGATTTCCATTAATGAATAAAATACAAATTGGTGTTTCTATGATCTCTAACATTAATAAATATGTTGCATAATCAATAAAACCAACCACAGGTTTTAAAATATAATTTTCTTAATTGTTCTATGCTTCTATAGTTCTTCCAAATCTACAGACTACAACAATCTCTCTAATAATAATGTCAAATAAAGAACAGATATTCTGAAGTATTTCCTTTTCTCTATGTAATATGATATTTCTCTAAGCAAAGACATTATTATAAGCACTGCCTAACATAGCAGCTACTAGCCACAGACAACTACTAAGCACTTGAAGTATGATTAAATAAAAATGAGATATGCTATTTGAGGGTAAAATACACAACAAATTTTAAAGGTAATAAAAATAACTTGGTAATTTTTATATTGATTTAATGTAAAATGGTAATATTTTAGATATACTGAATTAAACAAAACATATCATTACAATTAATTTCACCTGTTTCTTTTTTTTTAAAGATGTGATGGGACTCAATTATATTTCCATTAGAAAGCATTAATATATAATAAAGAAATCAATGCACAATGATCTAGAAATAATGTTCAGCTGGGCATTGTAGAGACAAGAGTATATATAAAGGCTAAAGTTGAACCCTGAGAGGTTTTTAGCAATCCATATCCCAAACTCAATCCTTAGCTGGTAGACTTTAGTTAGAATGACTAATGGATCTAGCAACTGTTCTCAAATGGGACTTTGGTCCTATATGATGAAGATACATTTTCTTCCAAGTGAGCCTTAGAAATCCTATGTAGGTATAAAGAATTTTAAATAGCATAAAATATTCCTCAGCTTCTAAATAAAAAAAATATATTTTCCTCATCAATATTGTCGACTATCCAAATGTACTTCTCTAATACATTGCAGTGAAGAGGTACAAAAAGGCAGTGCATAATTTTGCTGGCAATGGGGTCCATACTATTTCCACTTCCTTATTTATTAAAAACGCTGTATTCCCCTACTCCTCCACCTGACTTATACTGAAGAAATAACTGACTAAATCTTTCTGATGATGAAAGAAAGTTTATTTTAGCTCATGTTTGAAATCTAGACTTTGCCATGTACTGGTTGTGTGGTCTTGGATAAATAACTTAACCTCTCTGAACCTCAGTTTTGTCATCTGTTAAAGGAAGGAATCAATAAAAATATATTTGAAACAGATGGTAATTAAAGAAATAAGTAAAAACCTAAGGGCATAATAAAGTGGCAACATTTTAAAAGTTAAAATTATAAATATATATATATATATATATATATTTGAAAAAAAAAAGGAAGGAAATAGAATCTATACCGTAGGATTGATGTGAAGATTAAAGTCATGTTTACAGGTGTCAAGGAAAGATAGCGACTGTTACGAAAATCGAGCATTTAAAATCACTCTTACCTATCTAGTGATAATGCAGCTAATCCCTGATACCCAAGAATGTAGGCAAATCTGGGCAAAATGTAGGTAAGCAGGTCTCTATTTTGGACTTTCTTTCTATTTTCCAGAAAAGAACTGAAGATCCCCTAAGGTCTACTGAGGAGTATTCATACTGAAGAAGGTGTCTGTTGGTGTACAGGTGATATTGAGTGGTCTGTGTGCACAGGCTGAACTCTTGAGTACTATGTGAATTCATCGGCAGCTGCTGTTCATTCTAAAAAGGGTGATGGGTCCACAGAAAGTATTGTACTGGGAACAGTTTGCCATGCCTCTAATCGCTACTCTTAGGGAGAGGGGCATGATCCCCTTCTCTTATTCCTCTTCTGTTATTGATCAACCAAAGAACTTCAGGAAAAAGTCCTTACTAAGATCTTGGAGGAGGAAGTAGAATTAGGGTGGGCAAACGATTGGAGAAGGAAGAGGAAAAGAAACAGAAAAGGGTCTTACTGTTTTTATCACTTGAATCAATGACACAGTTGCCTATTTTTTTAAGTGATTGCTGCTTCTTTATTTTTAAAAATATATTTTTATTGATTTCAGAGAGGAAGGAAGAGGGCGAGAGAGAGAAACATCAATGATGAGAGAGAATCAGCAATAGGCTGCCTCCTGCATGCCTCCTACATTAGCCTTGAAACATTCATGATGTCAAGTCCCTGAAAAAGGCAGGGTGGACTCATGATGACGAACACAGTAGTGGAGTCAGATTGCTGGGTTTGCAGTCTGGATTTGCCACTTAGAGCTGTGGCCTTAAGCTAGTTACTTAGCAACCTGTCTGGGTGTCATTTGCACCTTCTATAAAATGGAGATGATGGCAATAGTGTTTACCGCATATATTGTCAAGGTCACACACTACTGGGTTTATAACTATACCTGGTACTGAGAAAGTATGAAAAATTATTATTACAAGATCTTTATTAATTCCTCAATTCATATATAAGACTAACTGGGGTGCAGAAGCTAGGTAGCTGAACTCCTGGGTCCAGTTTACTAACTTTCCAATCTACACAATTTAAATTCTTGCTAGCTTTTTTCATAACCTCATGTAATTAATCCTCACAATCCTATGAGGTAGGAATTATTTGCCCTGTTAGACATTCCTACAGTGCTGCTTAAAAGAGATCTGCTTCTGTAGTCTAGATGCTGGAAATGCCTCCTAGAGATTAGTATACTGTAATGGCCTTCTTGTAGGGAGAAAAGAAATTGAACAGAATGACTAAGTTTTGTTTTGAAAAAGCTTATTTTCTTCTTGGAGCTCCGATATTTTTGTAACCAGCTCTTCTATTAAAAGCTAAGTAATCAATCCATACTAGGTATAAGTAAAAAAAATAAGAGTTGTAACAAAAATGTACTTAAAGTGTGGTAAAAAAAATTAGGCTGTACACACGAAATCTGTTTGAATTACCTCGGTCTTGGAGAGTTGCCTGTCATTGTCTGTGTCTATCTGCTTAAATGTTTCAATACTTCGTGGTCCTTTGGTCACAGCATAAAGTTCAATCTCAAAAATCAATGTTGCATCAGGTGGAATCTTGCCTTCTGCTAAAAGTATAAATTTTAACAGTTTAACTTACATGAAGATAATGTTCAAATATTTATTCACAAGTAGCCATTACAGCACTATGATAATATTATTTTATATCTATAAAAATTGTGTTCTAAATACTTTTTAGAAATTTTTTCCATATGTTTTTAAACCAAGTCAGTTCTAAGAACTTAGGGGACCATTATTCCCTAATTAAATGAAAATAAATATAAATCATATAGTTTTTATTAATATACCCATCATTTTAAAGGAGAGAGAGCTGGTACAGAGAAGAAATGCCTGGATAGAAAAATCTGAAAGCTTAGATCAGTAATCTTTTAGAAAATGATTTTGTATAGTTATTGGGAGCATAAATAAAACATATATAAAAATGTGTTTATCTTTCAAATTCTTTATAGGTATTAAAAATAAAGTGTAATAACAGAATAAACCAGTAACAATTTCATGAATAAATTTCTAAACACAATAAAAAATTTAAGTATTTAGTTGAACAGATCTCCTTAATAAAATTAATCTATTAACTGATATCACAGATGATTTTAGTAGTAGGCTTTGTCTATTTCAGATGTTCATTTCATTAAAATAACCTGCAGAAATGACTTGGTAAGAGGCAGTGGGTGGTTTGTGTCACTGGTATATTCCTAGAGTCTTTCAGAATGCCTGATTCTTATCACTCAAACATTTGTTGAATGAATGACAACTATCCTTTATTTTTAAAATGGCTAATTTTGTTCTTTTAAGAAAATAGTAATTTCTTTAATAATAAAAAACAGAGGATTCCAAAGTGCTTATATATTCCAAAGAATTTGAAAGTTACAGCCAAAAGGAGAGACCATCATCAGTCATCTCAAAGCCAGGCCATAGAAGAATCTTCCTGTGCGTCACATGACTAATGTGACCATCCCAACCAAAGTAGCACCTATCACCTGATTTTAGAGTAAAAGAGCTAGAGATGGACTCAATGATCACTTTTTAAAACCCATTCCTATTCTGTCCAGTTACGATCTTCTTATAATAAAACAATAATTAAAAACAAATTCCAAATACAAATTCAAATTTCTTAAGAAAAAATATTACAGGCTGAAGTTTCTGAACAATTCTACTATAAACATAGAAAACATTGCCAATTCTTTTTTTTTTCTTGCAAAAAACTATAGTATAAAAGAGAGAAATGTGCATTTGCTATAGAATTACTTGTATTTAGAGAAGTGGATCAAAGACATAGGAGTTAATGTG